AGCTTTTCACATTATATATATATATATATATATATATATATATATATATATATATATATATATATATGTAGGTTACTCAATAAGTTTTGAGATGCACGAAATTTAAAAATGGAACTCACCCGTGTTATATGTTTCTTAAAAGCAAATTTATTAAAAGAACTCCATAAGCCGATTGCTCAATATTAAAAAAAAAAACAAAGTTCAATTAATTTTCATGCAACGCTTCCCGAGCTTTTCATTTAAAACGATGGATCTTAACCGTGAACATTTGTGCGCTATGATCTATTATGATTTTAAATTTGGTTTAACAATCAACATTAGGGAACTCTGCTACGTCACGCGAAACAATTTTTAGGTGATTTGCTGAACTCAAAAGGGGTAAAATTAACCTTAAAGATGACCAAGGAACCGGGGGCCCCGCAAATAGCAGTAACGGCAGAAAATGTATTGACTAGAAATGTTGGTGCGAGAAGACCCACGAGTCACATATACGGACTTTGACGAGATTGTAGGAATTAGTTCGGAGAGCATTCATACCATCCTACATCAACACCTTGGAGTGAGGAAGATTTGTTGTCGATGGATCCCAATCCTCATTTGCTCTCCGAAAACGAAAAACAGACGTGTGGATGGGTGCCATGAAATGCGTCTACTTTTTGAAAACGGAGCATCTAGGCGTGTTTCAGAAGTCGTTACTAGTGACGAGACATGGATCTATCAATATGGTCTAGAAAATAAAAAGCAATTACCGATATGGGTCTACTCAGAAGGACAGTTACCGACAAAACTGCAAAGACCTCGTAACGACGGCAAAAAAATGGTGGCTAGCTTTTTTGTTTGCGGAGTGGACATTTGTCGACGTCAATGCTTGAAAATTGTAGGTCAGTCAACTCTGAATGGTTTACTATAGTTACATTATCCAAAACTTTTCAAGCTGTGCGGGAGAGAAGACTAAAGACCTGGCTTCGAGGAATCATGTTGCATCACGATAACGCCTCTTCACATTCCTCCCTTAGAACAAAAGCATTTATTGAGGAATCTGGTGTTGAAATTCTAAGTCATCCACCCTAATGCCATTACTTAGCTCTTTTTGATTTCTTTTTGTTCCCAGGAGTCAAAGAAAAAATAAAAGGCAAGTTTTTATCAAGCGCCGAAGAAGCCGTATAGGCCGTATAGCGTATTGCTGCCTATGAAGAAGCAATTTCCGGCCTGTCAGATCAAGACTGGCGAAAGGTATTTTCAGAATATGTTTAGGCGAATAGAACTTTGTATAGAGCATGATGGAGATATTTTGAAAAGATGTAAAATAAATATTAATAGTATCTAGAATACTTTTTGTATATCTCAAAACTTATTGAGTGTCCTACCTAGACATAGACTTCTATCCAAGAACAGATTGCCGCCTCGTCGTGACGGGTGGCTTAGTAGCCGTGGCTAAGTCACCTACGGTGAATTAAAAGGATAACACACGGCAAGCCCGGACATACGGCCCGCCTGAGGTGGCCACTTCGATTGGGCTTGGCTAACTCATTTCCGATGTGTGCGCCAATCGCTCTCACCGTGGATGTGGTGGTGGATCATGAAAAACATTCTCGGGGATTTTTTTTGCCCGAGAATATTATAATAATTTAGTTTTTGACTATTGAATATCCCCTATAAGAACCAAAGTAAGAAGTCGCCTTTTCTTCTCTTTTAGAATTACTTACTTAAGATAAGTAGGTAAGCTACTTATCTTCACGCATAATCCCTAACGGGGTAGCCAGAGAGAACAGATCGCCAAGTGTCACGATCCTTACATAACTCTTTCGCTTCTTTCAGGTTCATTAACTTCTTCATACATGCACGTCTAAGTATCCGAGTACTCTTGACCTTTCCCTCTTCGAGCAATTTGCTCACATGGTCTTCGAAAGTTAGTCTCGGTCTACCTCGACCTTTTAATATTTACTTTCGCTCTATGTATTTTCTTCACCATTCGGTCTTCACTCATTCGTTCAACGTGCCCAAACTATTGGAGTACGCCCCTATCAATTTTTGTGATAAGGTCATCTTTCAATCCTGCCATATTGCGAATCTCTTCGTTTCGCTTTCGATCGGCTACGGTAACGCGAAATATTTTACGAAGAGATCGCATCTCCACTGCATTCAACTTGCTTTTATGCTTCTTCTGGCATACCCAGGTTTCGCTGCCATATAACAAAGTCGGTACCAACACTGCGTTATGTATTGAAAGGCGTGCACTCTTCACCACGCCTTGCCTTTTGACTAATGCATTCAGGGCACCATTGACTTTGTTTCCGGCAGCGACGCGCCTATCCACATCTAAATCACATCTTCCATCCCGGCTGAAAGCACTCCCCAAGTATACAATTTCATTTACCTGTTCTAGACGTTCCTGATTTACCCATATTTCACATTTCGTTATCTCTTCGTCCTTTTCAAATACTAGAACCTTAGTTTTATTAGCTTTTCGGCTACTCTCGTGTGATATTTGTCCCTAGTATCCGCTTCCTGAAGCTTCCAGCTTCGGATGCGACAGACCGACTGTGGTTCTCTTACTGCCGTCCGGTAACGCCAACCCGCGAACAAACCCCTAAATCTAGTAATTACTAGATAGTGATCCGTTACCAGGTCAGCACCCCTGAACACTCGTGTATCCATCACCTGTTTTCGCAGTCGGTCATCCACCAGGAACAAATCAATCATACTTCTCTCATTCTTTCTTTCTCTAGTGTACATATGGATTTTTCTGTGATTAAACATAGTGTTTGTCACAAGAAGACCCTTTTCCTTGCATACAGCCAGTATAAGTTTGCCAGCATCATTAACCCTTTTATCGCCAAACTTTCCAAGCACCGACTCGTATCCTGGTTGAGCGATACCTACCCATCCATTCAAATCACCATATACAACAGTTCTTTCGTTTCCCTTCACCAAATCTAGAACTTCTCTTACATTCTCCCAAAACTCCTCCAGCTCAGCCCTGGACGACGAAGCTACCGGCGCATAAACAGCCAAAAGGAATAACTTCGTCAGTCCCAGTTTAAAGCGAACCCAGAGAAGTCTTGAGTTCACAACCTTGTATTCAGTCATAAGATCGACCAACCGGGACGACAACAGCACCCCCACTCCCTGGCAGGCGTTCTCGCTTTCCGGGACTCCGGACCATATAGCTAACGTCCCGCCAGGGAGCTCTTCAATACCACTGCCTTTCCGTTTGGTCTCCGACATACACACGACATCTAATTCTCTTTCTTTCATTATTTCGATCAACTCAATTGTCTTATCTCTCATGCCCCCTCTAACATTCCACGTGCCAACTCTGCACTCCGTCCTCCACCTTCCGCCGTGTCGGGCTGTGTGTGACGGGTGGTGGTCCCCATCGCCGCTTTGCTCGCTGCATTCCACACCAACGGGGACGAGCTGGTGTGCGTCGCGTTGGGGGGACGCCCTAACTCCCGTTTGCATGGGTGCGTAGCTGTGTAGAATTGCAGCCCTGAAAAGGGCTGGCAGGGGTCGCGACGAGCACGCTTCTACAATGACCCCCAGAATTTTAGAATTTTAGAATTATCTTAATTTTTTGATATAGTAACTGAAATTGTAATTATATCCTTAATGTACAAATAAAAGATTAATCTCTTAGTATAAACAAAGCTCGGGTTAATCATTTCAAAATAAGGAAAGCAACCTTAAATGAAAAGTAAAAGCAGACTAGAGAGAACAAAAGAAAAAGTACAATTGACTCACTCTGAAGTCAGTGCTAAGACAAAATGTATAGATTAATGTAAGAATTTGAATTATATTTATTCTCTTTACTTATTGAGTTAAGGTAAACTAAGGAATATCACAATTACAATGCCGCCTAAATAGTTACAAAAAAAGCACACAGTCTACCTGATGGTAAGTGGATGCTGTGGCCAATAGACATCTAACATTTATCTTCTATTGGGAATCAAAATTCAGATGCGTCGACACCTCTGAAGACCGAGATGGAATGCCTCGATTTTAGTAAAACGTGTCTCCGGTTCTCTACACTCACCATATGTAACACATCGGCATTAAGGGGCTATTTTACGCTAATATTCTGTGAGAGCGTAGTCCTCCCCGTTTGAGCCGACCCATTCATGCTATAACCGTAATGTAGATGTGGCTCTACTACGTAAAAATATTTGTATGTAACAACCACTAAATTTTATTTTAGCAAAAGAAAAATAATCAAAATCTATTCACAATTTAAAAGATGTAGCGTATTATACATGCAAAAACATTCGAATTGTAAACTTCCTCATTTTTTAAGTCTCCGTTGTTTTATCCCTTTTCGTAACTTAAAAATATATTCACATTTTTGATGGAGTTAATCCCAAACCTTTATGATAACTTTTTTAACAAATTACGCAATAGCGACAGCGAGAGATTTAAACTATATAATATAAAAATACAACCATTGATAAATAGAAAATCCGACTACACAAAAATAAAAATAGTAAAATAATTTCCACATAGCTTAATTGAGTATTGAAGAAATAAAGGCTCGACTTAAGAAGTATTAATTTGTGAAAATATTTTGTTATTTTTAATTGAAATGATTTAAACATTTTTAACTTTTTTAATGACAGTTTTACCCTATAAAAGTTTAATTTATTGACCCTTTTGGATAAAATAAGTAATTTTACAACCTTAAAAAAACAACTAGAACGTCGTCTAAATTCTACAGAAATGTTGTTCTGTATGTGCATCCATTAAATCCAGAAAACTCTTATCATCAGTTGTAAATTAAAAATGTTAAATCGTCAGTCATAGTATTTTAGTTTTAATAGTCCACATTATGTGGTTCCAATAATATGTTTTTTTTTTAATTAATAATTGTAATTCCAATGACAAACGAGCTTACTCCAGGTGATGCTCCTGAAGCAATTAAATAAAACGTAGTAGGCCACAGATGCGTTGTGCTGCAGTTATAGCCAAATATATGGTACCAACTTAGACCCTAAGAACCAGGACTCTTAAGTTGAAAAGGAGCACCATTTGCTGTAAATCATGACGGTGACTTTGTTCTTCTGTCCGTTATTTACATTGTTACGGCCTGTAAAAATTTGTCAACTGAATATATTAATTTTTAAAGTAGTTCAAAAAACTTGAAGGTTCTGTATTATACGTATGTTTCTTAAGTGTATTTACTGATTTCTCTTATTTTTAATAAATATGTTTTACTATAGATGTGGTTTCATATAAATTTAAAGAATATATTATATTCTTAAGGGTAACCCACACTTGCATCCATTTAAAAGACTTTCTAGATTTTACCTTGAGACTAGGTAAAATTAATAAAAAATGTAATAATTCGATACTCTATATCTTAGTACCAACTTTAAAAGCTATTGTGTAGAAATTAACATCTTTATTTTTCCTTATAAGTTTTTGAAGTCGGTTTTACTTTTCTTAAATATTTGTTTATTATATTTATTTATTATAAGTAACCTTTTCCTTAACAAGTATGCCAATATCTGTTCTTGTATCCAAAACTTTTAATACAAATGTGCGACGGTCCTGGCACACATTTTTTAATAATTTATTTGTTTCCGATTTATAAAAAATCTTCAAAATCAGATATTTTTTATATTTTTCTTTATCAGTCCTTTTGACTCAAGGATTGAGTCTTAGTTGGAGAATGACGATGCTCTACGTCGTATGTTCATGCTTTCTTACATACTAAAAGTATATGTGAAATTAGTCGCAATGTTAACCTTGTGCAATAGCATCACAACAGGCATGGAAATTTGTCAAAGAATAAAGGACATTAACAAAACACATGTCAAGACCTATGGCTCAGTACTTAGTAGCCGAGCTTATTTTATTACCGTTTTGTATATTTTAGTTTACTTAGCATTAAGTGAATGACTTCATTAAATAGATATATTTAGCACTTGCCACGTTTAAAATAATTAATTAAGTATTTATTACTATTTTGTAAAATTATATGTAATCAGCTCATAGTCCAGAATCAGAATCCAGAATACTGCAGCGCACTTCTTTGCACTGCAGTATTCTGCTCTAAGAAACATGCAGAAAACTCAAGACAATGAAGACTAAAGATTATGAGTTGTTACTTTGTTACTTTAGGGAGTATTATTATTTTGGGGAATATTATTTTGGGGAATATTATTTTGGGTCATATTATGCTATCATACTGTTTTTATTACTTTTAAAACTTGAATAGAATGCGAGTAATTTGTTTTATACTAAAAACAAGCATGAATTCCTACGCTCGTCATTCTGTAATATACACTTGTCATATATTTGTATTAATGCTTATAAAATTTAATAATTTTGTTTAACTTCTCGAGTACCTTGTTATGAATTCTAAAAATAAAACGTACAGCGGTGTTGACACATTTCGTTTACATTTATTAACAATTTTAAGAAAGCTTTATCTCCTCAAAATGCAGTATTTATTTATTGTTGTTTTCAAATGCACTGAAATGAAAATCTGATGTTTGTTATTTGTTTCAGTTTAACATATTAATATTTAATTTAGTACTGTACTTTTAAAGGCATGGTAGCTGAGAAACTGAGCGCTTACCGTAAGTTTTATATTATGAATAAGCCAGTAAGCCAAAATAAAAACTCGCCGACACCACTGAAACCATTAGTTAAAGTTCATAGTGCTCAGCTGTGAACAAAAATGTACCAAGTGTATTGTTACCTTTAACGCTGCTTTCCGTCACAACTCCTATTATTTACACACGAAAGTATGTATAAAATATGTAATTACTGATTTATATTGCAGTAAACTGTACGTAATACACAATTTATGTTAATTCATCTATTATTACAGCACTTCAAAAGTCCGCTGCTGAACACTGCTGTGGTCTCTCTCATAGATTGCCTTATAAAAGGGATATTTGCTCCAATAAACAGAACGAATTGAATGAATTGACAGTTGTAATTTTTTTAGTATTCTCAGAAATTAAATGAAATGAAATAAAGATTTATTTGCTTTGAAAAAAGATTACATATAGGTGGTTATTGTAAAGTGAAATTCAGCTTTTTCAGCTATAGCATGCTGTTGTAATAAAATAAATAACTCAGTTTTATAAACGTAAATGGTTTTTATTTGAACACCTTGTGCACACCATGACAATTTATATTGAAGAAAGAGACAGGGTTACCAACACCAAAAATTAAATTAAGGTGAAATTACATTGCCATATTCTAACACCCCCACTCAATGTAATTGCACCGAATTAAACTGATTTACAAAACAAATATATAAGTACTAAATTTTATCAATGTTATCTATACCACATTTTTTTAAGAAACAGTTTATCAATTCTCTACTTAAAGATTTTGTAAGCATGTCAGCAGGTTTATCATTTGTTTTAACATATTTTAAACATATCATTTCATTTTTAATTATTTCTTTTATAAAATGGTAACGGATATCAACACGTTTTAATCGTTTGATAGTATCAGTACATGCAGCAGATATCGCTGATTGATTATCACAATGGAAGTGTATAGGATATATATTATTTATTTTGAAATCTTGTAAAAAATTAACAAGCCAACAGGTTTCACTGGCTGCCATACTAATGGCAATATATTCAGACACTGTAGAAGATAAGCTAACAGACACTTGTTTCTTTGAGCTCCATGAAATTAAACAGTTAGAGAATTTGAATAAGTAGCCTGTAGTTGATTTTCTATCATTGAAATCCCGTCCCAAGTCTGCATCACAATATCCCTCCAAAACATTATCTGTCCATTTATAAACTAACTTCTAAAGTAAGTCTAAAGTATGTTTGTAACGCATTACTCTTTTTAATGCACTTAATAACATATTATTTGCACATCTTTGATATCTACTTAATAAAGAGACAGTAAAACATAAGTCAGACCTAGTGCCAGATACAGCATACATTAGACATCCTATCATCTGTCGACATGACTTTTCAATATCTTTGTTTTGGTTTTGAAGCTTTAGGTTAATATTTGGGTCAATTGGTGTAGACATTGGTTTACAATTTTCCATTTTAAATCTTTTGAGGACATTCTCTAAATATTTTCTTTGGCTTAGTTCAGTAAATTTTGTGTTATATTTATGCCTAAGTTATCACTTACATATCCTAAGTCTTTTATTTTAAATGCCTGACATAATAAATTTTATTACCTGCTTTACTGAGTTATCACTTGCTCCAAATTTTAAGACATCGTCAACATACAATAGTAAATAAATTTGATCACAATCAGTTAACTTTCTATAAAGAAAAGAGTCAAAATTAGATCTAACAAAACCTTCTTTAGGGATAACAGCGTTGAATTTAATATTCCAGCACTTAGGTGCATTTTTGAGACCTTAAAGTGCTTTATTTAATTTTACAATATTATTACCTATGTAAGCTCCTTCAGGCAATTTTACATAAACATTTTCATTAATATTTCCAAACAGAAACGCACCTGTTACATCCATTTGAATTATAAGTAAATTATGTTTAGTTGCTATTGCTACAAATAACCTACAAATAACAGTTGACAATTTTGCAACTGGAGCATAACAGTCATTTAAGTCTAAAATATCATCCTGTTCGAACCCTCTCGCTACCAATCTTGCTTTATATTGAGGAAAATCTGAATCTCCTCTTTTAATTTTAAATTCCCACTTACTACTCAGAAGCTTTTCATTTTCTGGTACATTACATATTTTCCAAGTATTATTTTCTTCTAGTGTTTGCATCTCTCTATCTATCGCCTCCTTCCATTTGCTGCTGTCACTTCTCATCTTAGCCTCACCATAAGTGACAGGTTCACATTGTTCGGTATGCACATTTTGGCAATGATAGTAAACAGGTGGCTTCCTAATTCGTTTGCTGGGTTCTCTTTGGCAGACCTCATCAATTCGTTCGACTGAGCTGTTACTTGATTCACTTGGACTGTATTCAGATCCAGACTCTTCAGACATACTCGCATTCACCATAGTTTCATAGAGATTCGCTGATGTAGTTCTCGTTCTGCTTTTCCGTTCTGCTCTGGGGTGTAGGGAACACTTGTTTGTTGTATTATTCCGCGTTTTGCAAAGATATCTTTAACTTCCTTATTTATAAACTCAAGACACAGTCACATTTTCTGCCTTGTTAACGAAAACTTCAATAGAGTACTTTATATCAGACATATTCTTGACAAAATACACCCATCTATAGTTGGAGAAGTCATCTTTCAATATTACAAAGTACCTTGAACCGCCAACTGACATAACCTCCATAGGGCCGCAGGTATCCGCTTAGATTAATTCACACGTTTTTGTGGTGACTTTTTCACTCTTCTCAAACGGCAATCTATGTATTTTCCCTTCTAGACAATTCTCACATTTTGTAGCCAAAGTTTGTTTCACGTCAATGTTATTTTAACAGTAACTTTTTTAATTAATCAAAGTTTTGGTGTGCTAATCTTTCGTGCCACTCTTGCAATGTACTTTCATCTTCTTAGCCACACTAGCCACTTTTTTTATAAAAGCGTAACTCCAAAAAATACGAACTTCCAAATCGTTTTGCAATTGCACAAACTTTATTGTTTTTACATAATGATTTCTTATATTTACGCGAACACTACACATTGAAATAATACTAATTTTTACGGAATTTATCGCGTATATTTAACTTTTAATTTTTTATTTTTTATTGTTTTTATAAAACTGACACGACCTGTCATCTGTCAATATAACGTATCCTTTTTCCGGTGCACAGTTTACGGAGAATAGGTTTGTTTTCAACTCCAGCACGAACAGAACTTTGTCTATGGTTGTCTGTACCGACTCACTACCGTCATACACCTCTACTGCCATCTGTCCATAGCCTAGAACAGTAATCGCCGCTCAATTACCGACAATAACAGACTCTTGTTCAATGTCGGTAAATGATGTAAATAATGCACGATCACGGCACATGTGTTCACTGGCCCCCGAGTCCACTTACCACTGAGATTGACAGTATTCTTTTAATGAGTTTAGCACCACGAATGCGTTACTTTTATTGTTACTATTCTTACGTTCTTTGTTCTTTTTAAAACCAGCGCCGTGACTTGTTATGTCCACTCTTGCCACAATAAAAACACTTGTTATTCTGTCCTTCACTTTTCATGTTACTTTTACACTCGCTGAGGTAATGTCCCATTTTATTGCATTTAAAATATTTTATATTCTTCTTATCCTCAACCAGAAATGCAGAGGAGCTTGAAGGTGAACATTGTCTATTTTTCTCTTTCAGCCTTTCTTCTTCTACCATTAATCTTGCAACTAAATTGTTCATTGTTTGTTTATTGTCCGGGGCTGACTCCCAAGCCGACACAAAATGCTTATACTCATCCGGGAAGTCTGCAGTCTATGAACACGTACAGGATCACCCCCGTCACTACATCAGTTTTGATAGACCACAAATCCTCGCTAAAGAACACCGATTCCTTCCAAGGATGATTCGCGAGGCTATTGAAATCAAAAAACATCCTAATTTCAATAGAGAAGATGGCTAGGTGCTACCATCTGCTTGGGATCCTATAATAAATAAAATTAAATCCCAACCCAAGCGTACAACTGCAAGACTTCAAGATACCATAAGTTCATACTGTGTAGATCGGAACAAAAGTTAATTTTTTATCTATGGTAACCGCTGTTAACTATGAAATTTGGAAGTTGAACATCTCAGTCCTCCCCACGACCATGGGTGCTGTAAAGCTCTCGAAACGTCGCGTACTTATAATTAAATATACGCGATAAAATCCGTAAAAACTAGTATTATTTCAATGTGTAGTGTTCGCGTAAATATAAGAAATCATTATTAATACTTTAGTTATCACAAACTTGTCAGAAACTTCTTCTCCCATTTGTTTAAGCTGATTTTGTAATTCTTGGATTTTTTATAAGAATATTGACATTTCAATGCCTGTTTCAAACTTATATTGAAAGAAGCGCTATTGAATTATATGGATGTTTGTTTCTGTTTTTTGCTCATAGACACTTTGCAGCTTTTTCCATATTTGAGATGAAGTAGTAAAACACGAAATAATATGTAACATTACATTTTCTCATTCTTGTGACTAATAGCGTTTGTGCCTTCGCGTCTTTATTCTCCCAAGCGGTTTGTTCAGTGGGATCTTCGGGTTTTAAAGTTCTTCCTTCGACAATATCCAACCAGCCTTGACCTCGTAACAAAACTGTAGTTCGGAACTTCCAGATTTTCCAGTTGTTAGCTCCTTCCAGCTTCATCAAGCTGTTATTTGTGTTTAGATTGACTTCCATTTCGCTATACTGTCTTACGATCCACGTCGAAAAGTAACTTTTTACTATCTCTACGTTGCCGTGCAAACTTAACATCACTTTCAAACCGCACGTGTAACGCGAATGTTATTTTCACCGTAAGTTCCTCACTTTTTTATTTTATTACTTTTGTGTTATGTGCCTGGGCCTATAACCTGTTGTAATAAAATAAATAACGCAGTTTTATAAACGTAAATGGTTTTTATTCGAACACCTTGTGCACACCATGACAATTTATATTGAAGAAAGAGACAGGGTTACCAACACCAAAAATTAAATTAAGGTGAAATTACATTGCTATGTTCTAACTCATGCAAATACATTATTTATAATTAAATTTTTATACATTAAAATATTCATCATAAAATAGTCATCGTTTACCAATTAAGAATACTAATACTACATACAAATTTAAATTGAAAATGCAATTAAAAATATAGAACTACTGTTGTGTCACATTAAGTCAAATGTAGGTAGTCATTCACATTATAAAAGCAATGATCATTTAGCCACCTGTAAAGGGCGCCTTTAAATCTATTAAGGGCATACACATCCAGTAGCAGTTTTTTTTAAACCGAGTACTCTTGGATATAATTTCAGCAGCAAGTCTATTGCCATTTCTGGTATTATGCGTATAAATCTCTTTCGCTTGTCTGAAATAATAAATGTTTTTTTTTACAAACTTTGCAATTTCAAAAATGTACAGGCATGGGAGGGGTAGTATTTTCAGACACACAAATAGCGGCCTGCAAGGCTCTTTAAGTGCAGTGCCACATATTGCTCTAACACATTTTTTTTGGGTAATGAATGCCTTTTTTTGCATCTGTGCTATTGCCCCATATAATGAGCCCGTATCGCAGTACGAATTCCACATATGCAAAGTACGCAGTAAGTGCTGTATTTTTGAGGGAGGCTACTTTGCTTAGTTTATAAAGTGTGTACGAAAATCTACTTAGTATAGAAAATCTAATAATTTAGTTTTTGATCTATCCATATACCTAAGAATTTTGTCACATTTGTACTTTTTAGTGGAAGTCCTTCAAAATTAATGTTCATTGTCTGGTATAATATGTCATTGAAATTTATAAAATAAGTTTAGAGATAATATCGGGAAAATGCTGCCGCCTGTTTTCTATTTCAGTTTCTCGTTGTCGCATATTACGACATAAACATGAAGTAGTGGATTCCCTTACACCGCCATTACACGGCGAGTTGTAATGTTTTTATTTATCAGTCCGTTAAAGATCCCTGTTAAATAAGGGCTTTTCTTATTATAGCCTATAAAATTCAACATAGGAAAATTGATTCACTATAGAGATATCAGACGCATTGTTTTTTCGATGTTGCTTTTCATCGGCCTTGATTATGGTGCCAAATTGGAAACTTAGACTACCATTTATTAACTACAACGAGACCTTCCAGGCATCTTCTTTTCCGTAGCTGGCTTTTACAACAACCTGGGATGAAATGAGGTCATATGATAAATTATCCTTTAGTGTCAATTGACTCCATATTATATTAGTACTAATATTATAAACAGATTGTGGAGGAGGCCAAGACCCACAAAGGGTTGTAGCGCCAATGGAAGTAATATTATAAACGCGAAAGTTTGTAAGTATGGATGGATGGATGTTTGTTACTCTTTCACGTAAAAACTACTGAACGGATTTAGATGAAATGTGACAGAAATATTGTTTATATATCATAATAATACATAGACTACAATTAATAAAGATTTTGTGTAATTTGGCCTTAATATAACGCTAAGTATCAAGTCGGAAATATTCCTGCCCTCGGAGAGCTTTCTTGGCGGGCGCTGCCTAAACCGTTGGAGTTACACGGAAAAAATATACCGTGGGATTGTTTGTCTTTAGTAGTTCGAAATAAAAGTCCGCGACAGCATATATCTACCTTTTATGGACCGCCAAGCATCCAGATGGTGTGGATGGTATTGGGAATTTTTCCGCGTAGTGCCTTCATGACATTTGGCGGCTGGGATTTTTCAGAGCACTCTCCGTGGTATGAGCGAAAGATAATGCAAAGAGATGCAACATATCTTCGCAGTGCCAGTCAATCGAGCCGATCGGAAAGCACTCGGTCGTAGATGGTTCGGGCCGCACTGCGCTGGATGTGGTCAAGTGGAAAAAGCTGGCACTGGGGGAGCCCCAGCCCAGAGATAGAAACAGTATTCTATGTGAGGCCTAATCTGTTGTTAAGTTGCAGGCGGTGTGCCGGCATGAAATACTGTCCCGCTCTGCTGAGCACGCCAAACTTTATAGAGGCCAATTTGGCCTTGTTTTCCAAGTGACGACGAAACTACACGTCACTCGATATGTTGTCGCTGAGGATTCCGATAGTGGCTGAGACAACAAGGGGACTGCCTTGAATCTAATAAGATACGATAAAGGGGTTCTTTTTAGCGGTAAACGCGCAAAATTGTGTCTTCTGAGGGTTAAACTGACTGGAGACTTTGTTTAGCAGAGACTCGACTTCAGACACAAGTATGTCCTGGTACTCGGAGACGTTTTCCCTAGAAATATTGGCACCAGGGCATCACCAGTGCTGTCATCCGCATAGCAATAAATATTACTGATTTGCAACATATCATTGATATGCAGAATAAACAGCGTTGGTGATAGCACGCAGCCTTGTGG